TTGTGGCTGCTGGTCCCCGCGGGAAAGGGGGGGGGGGGGGGGGAGGGAGGCTTCTGTGCCCAGCTGGGGTGCAGGTGGAGGGGTTACCAGTAAGTTATACCTCACCCTGAGACTTAAAGATCTCACTGCTGCTGCCGCCACAGTGCAGGGTCACTGCACCTTGGCTGCAGCAGCCAACCCAGCAGGGGCGCAGGACTGCTGCTGCCATGGTGGGCTAGGCTGCAGATGCTGCAGTGTAGGCTTTTCACACATCAGCTGCAACAACCCCTGCAGCACCAGCTTCCTGAGGGACACCATTCTGACACCACCGATAAATCTGTACTCAGGGCTGGAGATCCCCTTGCCCACCCCAAGTTATGCTACTGGCCTGATTCTTTCCTCACTCACACTGGTTTTACACTAGTGTAACTATTGCCTTCAGAAGAATTGCTTCTACTTACACTAGGAAATATAAAATAGGTAAGACAAAGCCCATTGTTTTAAAATAGTCAGAAAATTCCAGACATGGAGTGTCAATATTTCTTAATATGCTCTGGAGGACCCAAGAGTAAAAGTGCTTCTCGAATTTTTTTTTAGTATTATTAGTTTTGCTGGTTTTTGTAGCAATTATTACCTTCTCCTCAGCACATATAGTTTTAGTATTATGCTTGCAATCATTAATCTTTGTTCTAGATTGAATCTACATAAAATGGTTTCCTGTAAAGAGGCACTGCTACCTGTCTATGCCCTTTCTGAGAAAGTAGGAAGTCTCTACTGTTTAAATATAGTCACACAGAGAATCAGTATTCTCAGTACTGATACAGTATATACGGCTTCCTGTTTAATGCTGCATACATTGATACATGTAAGACTAACAGTTACTGCACTGGTACTGTTAAATAATTGACTTATTGTGATGCTACAGAAGCTCATGATGTTACAGCCAAATCTAGGACATATTTTTAAAGCGATGTGACAATATGCCTGCATTTTTAAACACCTACCTGCATGATTTTATCTTCCTGAATGTGTCTCTTGAAAATGTTTTAAGAGGTAGCTTTGCAGTTTGAAAGATAAAAAGTATTAAACAGCAAACTATGAAAAGAAAATGTGAGATTTAAAACTTTCTTACAGTGGTTTCTAAGCCTCAGTCACAGCAAAAACATCTCATTTTGAGTTTGATTTCTGCTATCTGATACCTTACTGTGTGCTGAAAATCTGAAGCCTTTGCACTTTTCAGTCAGGAGAGTTGACACTTGTAAGGAGAGGGAAATAACTCATAAATGGCTTTTTCCAGTTACATTAACACCTGGGTTCGTGTGTCAGGAAGTCGAAGTCCTACCAGACCTCCGCATACTAGAACAGTAGAAGCTAGGAGAATAGGGATTGATTTGGTGATGCCAACAAGGGAGCCAAATATTAAGTTTCCAAGTACAGCTGCTGCTTTGCATAGTGCGTTCAAGAAGCCAAAGCCTGTTGCCCTAAAAGATAAAAAAGAATAAAGTTAAAAATCCATGGAAAATTAAAGCTTTTGGGAAAAATCCTCAGTTGGAATAACTCAGTGTAGCTCTGCTAACTTTAGTGGAGTCACACCAATTTACAGTAGCTGAGACTCTTGCCCTTTGATTTTATGACATTAAATCAAACCTTAGTATTCTAGCACTTTATTGAGGCAAATACCCTTTTGGGAACCAGTATATACACTAAATGCCGAAATGCATGACTAAACATCTTTAGGCAACAGCAAAGGACATGTAAACTAGAATATAATCACACTGTCTTCTAGGGTGGCTAAGGGAGAGAATAGCTTTTGAAACTGGACTGGAAGCCAGTAAGACAAGGAATCCTTCCAACACTTGGGACTTCCCATCAGAAAAGGAGACAATCATTTCTCTGTGGTGATTAGAAGCCATTTCTTTCAGATGGTAGGCCTGACAAACAGTACTCCCTGGAAAGGCAGAAGGGGCTTCTTCCTCATCTGATATTGAATTTAATGCCTTTGTGCAAATGAACTGAGGGACTTAAAAACAGTCTTGTGATGGAAGAGAGTGTGGTAGGCCAGTAGGGGGTACTCCTGCGCAGAGACATCCACTTCACTGTGCCCGGCCAAAAACTGAGCTTCAGATGCCTCCCCAGGGGCATCAACTTCTGGCCACCCCCCTTCCTGGAGCACACCTGCAAACCTGGGATAACTGCTGCCACCACCTGGACTCAGGTCTTTCTCTGGGCCCTGTGTCATGTGGGGTACATAGGCCCTGTAGACCTTGGGAACTTGGGGTGCTTCCATTAGTCTGAAGCCTAGAAAGTAGCCTCCCTTAGTCAGCCAAGTCAAGGGAGCAAGAAGGCCTGTCCAGTCCCTCTCAAGCATGTACCACAAGGTTTGCTAACAGATAGCTTTATTGGGTAGAGAGAGTAGGCTTGGGGAGGGGTAAAAGTCAGAGAAGTATTAAAAGAAAACCCCAGAGCAAACAGAAACAGCTTGGCAGCCTTTTGACAAGTGACTAAAACACTAGATTCTAAATTCCCAGCTACATTTCAGGTAAGTTACTCACAAGTCCATCCAGGGGCTGATTGAGCCTGCTCGAGAGGCAGGATGGCTTGCTGGCTGCACCCCAAAACTTGTCTCCCTCCTTCCAGAAAGAAGGGACCTTATATATCCCTGTTGTGACCTCATCACCAAGTTCCCACCACAAACCAGTATCCTCAGACCACGGCTGATGCTGGTTGGTCAGTTTGAAAAACGTCACCAACTTCAGGTGAGGGTTAGGGTTACACAGGACACAGGGGAGAGCACGCTCCCCCCTCCCTCAGGAATGTCTCCAGCCCAGGTCACAGCTCAGTGGTAAATGAAACAGATGGGGAGGGGCTGCCTGCTTCCAGCAGAGAGACTGGGGCGTGATTTCTCCACAGAGAGATCTAGGAGACTTCGGAGGAGTGGGTAGGAAGGTGAATTGGTGGCTGGGAAACTATCAGAAGCAGATCAAAGTGGATGCTGCTTTATAAAAATATAAGGAATGAACCAACTAATATTTAGTAACTAAGCCAAGAGTGACTCATTGGCTTACCTCCTAAGAAGTTAAACTCATGATATGTTCTGTAAAGCACTTTGATTTTATTAAACCTTGTTTTAATATGACTTATGGTTCATGGGTGGTTTATTGGGTAAATCTGAATGGACTGTCCTGAGAAGAACAAAACCCTTCAAGTCTCAAAGATAGGGAAGGGCAGCCTCTGGAGCCTTATCTCTGCTTGGAGACATTTACCATTAGGGGTCTGGAGGAGGATGTTTTCTCAGGACATATGCTGACAAAGGACTTTCATGAAATGAAAAAAGCCTGAAGGGGGTGTGGTGACTGTGAGTGGGGAGCTCCCGCAGGTGGTCGCAGCATAGTTGGCGGTGGGAGGTGAGCGCTGATGGGCTGGCAATCAGTGACTGCCTGCAGATGCTGCTGGCAGTGTCGGCGGCGGCCGGGGGGTTGGGGGTGGGGGGGGCACTTCTCTCAGGGGGTGCACATGTACCCACGTGCATCCCCTACACATTGCCAGTGCAAACAACCCCTCTTCTCCCTGGGTTCCGCCTCTTTGTATTTTCTCACATAACCCCACCCTCAAATAAGATACACTTTGCTTTGGAAAGGCAGAATGAAGAAAAAGTGTGGAAACCAACATCCTTACTTAAAACACACAGCCCAATTTTGGGAAAAAGCATATTTTGCACATTTATGCAAGCAAATATGGCATTTTTATTAAAAAATGCAAGGTATCTTTAATTCTTAAATATAGGTTGAAGAGAACAAAAAAAAAGGGAGAGAAGGGCATTGTCAAGTCTGATTTCCTGAGTGACAGATAAGGGTATGCTATGGCATCAGAGGAGAAAGAATCCTTGCGTGGCGGTTACAACATGAAAGTGGTCTCAACCCCCATTAGCTTTGTAAATGCAGACATATATTCTGCCATGTAATATGCCATGTATGCAGACATATATTCTGATATGTAATGCCACAACCTGTACTACACAAACATACTAGTTCTGCTGTGCTTAAGAACCAGGCATAAAAAGAAGGCTCTGGACAGAATGTAATCCATTCAGTGTATTCCTAAACCATCTCAGTTTGCTCAGATCTAGTTGGCTTTTAACCTGTTATGATCAACTATGACTCGTCATGGTCTCAATTGCTATCCCACAGCATTTTCTCATAGGTTTAGGGATGTTTTTGTTTCAGCCTGATAAAGGTAGTTAGCCCTGTTAGTCTGAAATCAAATAGAAGGCAGGGTAGATATGTACTTTATAGGCTAACTAAATAAGATAAAGAATAAGGATTCATGAAGTTAAGATGACTTCATCAGGTGCGGTGAAAGGACAAGCATTAGAGTAGTGTATAAAGTGGATGAATGACTGGAATACAAAAGGTCGGAAGGGAGAAGGGAGAGAAAGGGGTGGAGGGGAGGGGAAGGAGGGTCAGTGCTGGGAGAGGCAAATAAACAAAGAACCCATAGGAACAAGCTCACAAAAGCTAATCTATTTATGTAATGGGATAAGAATCCCAGGCTGCCATATATAATAATAATTAAATAAGTAACAGGACATTTACCAAATAATTAAAATAAAAACTCATTGAAGAATATATTTTAGGAACAGAGACATCAGTTAATATGTTAAATACACACTTTCTCTAGGGCTGGCAGGGGATGCAGTTCAAATGTTGAAGTCAAACACCTTCTTTTAGAACACTTCTTAAGGAAGTAAAATCATAAAAATTGATCTCTATTGTTCCAACTTTAGCTCTCTGCATTTTGTGACCTCAGGACAATTTTAAAGTTGGTCAGTCTGGCTGTGTGATTATAATAATCATTTTACATTCGATTTTAGGCATATATTATGCTACCACAGGTCACCTGTAACCAACAGTTGTGTTTTCTGACTCCCTTGAACCCTTTAAAATACTTGTACTTTAGCAAACCAATATTCCCTTTACTAAAAATAATCATGAATTTTCTTGCGCTACACATGGTGACCTTTTGACATACTGCATAGTCAAAAAATTAGAATAAGAGAGGCAGGTGTTTTGGATTGAAAGCAGAAGCTATCAAGAAATCCTGTTTTGGAAGGTAACCAGGAGAGTCCTGGGTGTCCCTCTTCAACAACCATTAAGATCTAGGAATCTTACTTTTGCTTCCTAAGTTGATTAGTACTGCAGTATCTAAGTAGTACCTGTTGCCAAGGAAACTACTAAGATTGGGAAGAGAGCGTAAAAGCTCTAGAAGCAAAAACCTTTGAGGCTACTGTCACAACCCAAAGTTGTGGTTTTTTTGTTTGAGTGTGCTTCGGCATCGCTAAATCATGTTCCCGCCAAAATTGCAGCTCTTTTGCACGGTGGAGTGTTCTGTTGCAACACAGGACCCGCGTGCAGGAGCTTTTCCCGCCAGTTCTGTAGCTTTCTTTGCATAGTGCATTTCTTTTGCATTATAGTGATGCACGATGCAAAGGAGTTCCTGCCATTTGTATTAAGATTCGAGCCACAT